ATTTTTGGGATTAGAAACGGGAAACCCCCCCCCCCAAAAAAAAAAAAACCCACAATTTTTCATATCTGACAATATGTAAGTGGTTTAAGGCTTTAAAGCTGAAAACCGGTCAAATCGCTAAATGATCAGATGAATTACATTTATATATAGACCGCCAGAACCCAGGGAAGAACAGGCTGTGGGGACCAGTCTAGCTACCCTAAGGTAGCTTGCAGGAGTGGGGCTCATGTAAGTAAAGCTGCTTTACTCCAGCCCCTAGACAAAAATGAACAGTTACCCTTGCACTGTGGGGGTTAGCCCCACCTCAAGGATACATGTTTATGTTATCTCGTAGATGGGCTTTAAAGCTCATCTCTGAGCAGTTTAAAAAATACACTCAGTAAACAGTGGATAGTCTCTGACAATACTCATGTTTATAGTACTCCTCGTTCTGTTCAATTAATCAAATTGTTTTTGTTGCAAATTTCTTCCTTTTGCTGCACATTTTGGTAACAAGGAACCCGACTCTGCAAAGAGCACACACATTGCTTTGGACAGCCAGAACATCACCCTTGCTGAAGTAATTGTGATCGAAGTTCCCCTTTTCATTGTAGCCAAGTGTGGTTAAATAATACTATCTAGAAATATCATGTAATGTAATGTGGCAGACACCATTATCTGGTCTGATCTGATTTCTGATTGTGGTTCTGCACTGTTTTCTTAGCTGGAGGTTATTTAACTGCAGTGCATATTAGCTGAAAGGATTGATTGTTTGTTTGCGGACACTAAAATAATAAAAAGTTTCTTCTCATACTCGCACTTTGTGCACCTTATATTTATAGAATTAATATGTTATACTGAATAAACTTTGTTTGCTTTTAGGTTTGAGTTTTCTTCTCACGCAATTAGTATGAGTGCCTACTTACGGGAGCAGAGACGTGAGCTCTACAGCAAAAGTGGGGAGCTTCAAGGTAAGAGGTTTGATCTGTTAATGCCAACAATTGCAAACTGTACAAATAATGGTTGCCCAGACTGCAAGTGGTTAAAGCGACACTAAACTCAGAAGTTATATTTTAAAAATGCATTCAAGTACTTTAACTATTAACAAAAATGTAGCTCATTTGTGTATCACTCAGCTGTAGATCCTCAAATCATCTCTAAATTCATACTGACACTGTCCTTCCTTCTGGAGGGTGGCTACTTTTGTTATGTTGTAAAGTAGCCTCCACTCCAAGTTTAGGTATGTTAATAGTTAAGATACTTGGATGCATTTTTAAGATTTAACTCCTGAGTTTAGTGTCACTTCAAGATTGCATTGTGTCATGAGACCTGCTTATAAACTACTTCCATTTGTGTAAGTGAAGCCATGACTTCTGTAATTGAAATAGTATATGTTTACCATCTGTACCCTAGCTCATCTCTACAATGCAGTGAGTTATCAGTTTTGTTGGTTGCTAGACAACATCCAGCAACACCGCACTTTCACGTCTTGGCAGGGTAGAGAGGTAGAAGTGGACACAATTAGTTGAGTTTAAACATTTTCTGATAACATGGTTTTGTGAACATACTGTATGTGGCATAGCTTTTCAGTTGTTAAACTTCGTAAACATGAAAACAAAACATGTTGCAAATGAATTTCTGAGTTTGAAGTGCCTATAATAACTGAATTTGAGGGATTTTTTTGTACAGCTGTTAAAAGGAAATAGATGAAAACACCAATATACTGTCAGAAAGCTTAGATATGGAGGGACAGAATGATCCTTGTGATAACTAAGCTAGTAGACCTGATATTACTTCATTGTTATGGGTGGATGAGAGGATTTTTTAACATAAACCAATACTCTAATGTTTGCCTGACTGTAATCCATGGTAGTTTCCCTTCTCTTTGCTGCTCTTCCTTTTAAATACTCATGTCTTCTCATGCTGGGGAGAACTTCCCTTTGCAGCTCAGGGCCTCTTCCTGTAGTGCTGCCTCAGGTTACAAACCCATACAAACCTATACACAGACACAGTGTATCCATTCCTGAGACAAGGCAGTCTGCTGCAAAACAGAAGTTCTGCCCAGCATGAGAACAGATAAAGATTTAAAAGGAAGAGCAGCAAAGAGAAGGGAAACAACCATGGATTACAGTAAGGCACACATCACAGTATTGTTTTATGTTAAAAAATCTGAGGGTTCTTAGTGAGGTGACTCCCTACCCCCTGACCCTTCCGTGTCCTCCTGCTTTCTCTCCCCTTCCATCCTTCGTTACTATTTTTCTACCTGTATATTCCCCCTATGTCTCTACGTTTATGATACACTTTAGGCGTGATTATGGGACTCTATATATAGTGATATTCCCAGGATATCAGTGAGCTGGTATAGGCCAATCTACCCTACTATTGATGTCAGCTTTATTACGGCTTCAGCTGTGGAGGCGACATTGCTGGAAGGCATATGACAATAATGCTACTGTCCGCTCACTCACTGATTAGACAGAATAGAAGGTGTAGGTTTTACCCCGAATATACCATTGTCATATAACACGCTGTGTATCATGTATTCTTATGCAAATTCATGATGTTACCGGCTAATTGTCCGCCTTGGGTGCTAAGCTCTGTGTATGTATATATGTCTGTTTGTAAAAACCTTCAATAAACACTTATTGGAATTAAAAAAAAAATCTGAGGGTTTAATGTCACACAAGTAGGGGTGCTTGCCTGCTATAATCACGCAATCAGTCCTATTGTAATGGCTAAACTCTGTATCTCAGCATGTTGCTGTACCCTTGGTAAGTATGTCATCTAAGATGAAAAGCTTGCTGCAGTTAAAGATGAACTTCAGACAAACAGCTAAATACAGAGATGAACTGTGTTGATGGTAGCTGTTCTATCTGCCAAAGGATTTGTATTTTTGTACATTCATTACTGAGATTTACACTGCCTTGACCAGCAGAACAGCCTGCCTGGAGAACTTACATTTCTCTGCAGGCAGATCTTGTCCATGTCCCCTGCCAGTGATTGGACGGAGAAGGAAAATCAGTAGACTATTGAGCTTGTCTCTTGTCACGCTGCTCTCTCCTTCTGTCAGCCTTTCCACATTAGCACATGAGCACTACAGCACAACTGATGGGCTCCTTGTGCTGCTTCTTCCTATCTCAGCCATGTATTGTACAGGAATTGTGAATTGGCAGGCACCAAGTTGAATTCAGATGCTTACACTAGTTGATTTTTAAAAAAACACAAATATGTGCACAAATTGGTATTTGTATGCCTGGATTTCAGCTTTCACACTAAAGAAAGTGTTGGGGTTGACTGAAATTGTCCCCAAGCTCTGCACAGGTATTTGGCAAAATCAGTGAACAGACTGAACAAGGTGAAGGTTATTCTGGGGAATGTTCTGCTCACAATTGGTGTACACAATAATCCCATTTGTGAAATGACTGCAGCTTCAGTAAATATTGGTTGGCTGAAGATCTAAATGGAAAGATACGTTTTGATAAACTTAGATTATAAAATAATATTTGTAGCAACTTTATAACGTTTTATACTTTTCATTTTATCAAAAGCTGTATTTCGCTTTGCATACATACTTTCCTTGAAATTATTATGAACCTCAGTGGAGAAACTGTTGTCGTCACTGGGGTGAAGTAAAGGTTCTCTAAAGTCACAGCATATCTTATTCTCTTTCCCTGCTGCTTGATGTGATGCAGTCTCAATTTTTCAAGACTACATATCAAATAATGCATTGCTTCCAGTAAGCAATGATAATGTCCCATGGTTCAAACGGTGAGTTGTAATTCAGAAGGCAGGCTCTTAGAGAGTTGTGACATAAGGCAGTGTGTATTCACTATTTTGTCAGTGCATTGAAGAAATCCATGCTATTGGCATCTCCATAATTAAGTTTACAAACTTCTAAATCGAGATGATTATTAGGAGTGGGATTGAACTTATGGAAAGTCAATATAGAAATACATATTTATTTTTAGTTTTTGACCATAGATGGCCTTTAAAGGAGTTTACCATTTGCTGAAGTTAGAAACCATTTTCCCCCTCCTCCCAGAACTCTGTTATTTAAGCTTTTAATATTTGTCTGGCAACCTTAAAGTCAATTCAGTTCCTGCCATAAAAAGCCATGTGATACCTTCTACAGTCACTATGGCAGGCTTGTACTAGGAAAAATCAAGAAAATTGACCAAGTTCTTCCAGTGATTGGCAGTCTGGTAGAGATAGCATAAGAACTGTAAACATGGTGCTGGTGAGGAAAGGATTCACACGTTATTTGCAGAGTTTGAAAGGTCTTTTTTCAGAGGCGTCACTAGGGGGTTGCAGCCTGCATCGGGTGACACCAAAATGGCTGACAGGCTCTGAAAAGTTGGGCACTTGGTCATGGACTGAGAACTCGACAGCTGCACGAGAAAGTAGGAGACCCGGCGGGGTAAGGATGAATGTCCCCTCTTCTCTTTGCTGGCGTACTTCACCAAGATGGCTGCCGGCTGCCTTTTCTTTTCCCTGTACATTGTTTCTCAAGTGTATTTTATAGAATTAAAGCTGGCTGTGGAATCTGCTTTCAAAATCTTTATAGCGCTACTTAATGTTTTTCTGATAGTGATGCGCAGGAGCGGTGGGAACCCAGTTCAATTGAGTTTGCCCAAACCTACTCAAAACTGACTGCCACCCCCTCTTTTCAGCCCTATTAATTGCTGATAATATCCCCTCTGCAATTGCCACCACTGATTGGGCTGGGAGAGGGGAGTGGCGGTCAGAGATTTGAGTGGGCTTAAGCGAATTCAGGCAAACTGGGTTCGCACCAAGTCTAGGCTTATCTCTAGTTTCAGTAAATTTCCCTTATTTGACTCGTATAAGTCTACAGCCAGGTTTCTTTTATGCATTATACAATTTATTTATTTTTACCCTGCAAGGGTTTTGCTTTGATTTTTCAAGTCGCTGATTATTTGAATAGATTCAATAATTTTCTTAGCTTGTCAAAACTTTCTTAAATAAATTAAACTGTCTTCATGTAAAAGGCCCATAATGCCATTTGTGTGATGTTGGCTGCTTAGTTTAGATCTATTTGTAGTACAAAGTGAGGACTCTTAACCCTATCATTTACATGGTTGTTTCTCATTATCCCACATTCTGCTATGGCTCACATTAATAAGGTAAGTTTTTTTTTGTTTTGTTTGTTCTTTGCTGTTAATGCAGTCACCTTCACATGAAATTATAAGGCTACTTTTTCTTCCGCGTGTGTTTTCTGCAACTTGTCGGATTAGCCTCGGTCTCTCTACAAAGACCATCCAATCACAGAGGGGTTATTAAAACCAGGGAGCTTTATGACTGAGAATTAATTAGTAGAGTATTTTCATGCAAAACATCCAATTTCTTGATTAGCAACAGAGCAGAGCTGCAATTAACACTCTGGGAAGCTTATATTTCCAGCTTTTTGATTCTCAGGAAATAAGATTATCAAACTGGGGTCAGGCACTTGACAGCGGAGGGTTTCAATGTGTAAGAAAATAATTTATTTTGTGATTTGTTAGTCAGACTGCATTAAGGCCACAGCTCTAAGGAGGGGGGTGTGAGGAATTTACTCTATTGATTTTATTTAGATTGTGCTATTGTCAAAAATACTATTGGTGTGGCAAGAAAAGTTTAATCATTTGGATAACATTTCATACTTATTTTTTGGTGTAGGAAATTATGTATTCTTTTTTTGACTAGATCCTCTATTTTTTATGGGCATGTATGCTTTGCAGGCAAAATAAAAAAAATTTTTTTTTTAAAAAGAGCGTGACTTGTTTACAGGTGAAACTCGAATAATTAGAATATCGTGCAAAAGTTCATTTATTTCACTAATGCAACTTAAAAGGTGAAACTAATATATGAGAGACTCATTACATGCAAAGCAAGATAATTCAAGCTGTGATTTGTCATGATTGTGGTGATTATGGCTTACAGCTCATGAAAACCCCAAATCCACAATCTCAGAAAA